ATAATAATAAAAAATAATAATATTTATTAAAATTCATTAGAAAAATAAAATTATTTCTCAATTGATATATTTATATGTAATGTAGTTATATATTGTAAGGTAAAAAAAAATACTATAATATAACACAAGTAAGTTGCACAAATAAAAAGTGTCATAATAAATATATAATAATATATATATATTCTTGTAAAAGGTATTTAAATTTTCAAACTACTTTTTCTCATTAATTTTAGATTTTCAGAAAAAAAAATTAGCAAGCACCCGTGTAATACACGGGTGTTGTACTAGTTGCGAATTTTATTTTATTAAAAAATAAATAAATTACGCTTAATTTAATAATATAAACTTACTTTAGTATTTATAAAAATCAGAAACTCTTTTAACATCAACTCGGCTACTACAATTGTTTTAATTGGATGCTTTTATTTTTTTAAAAAAAAATAAATTACGATTCATTTATTTGGTGGATTTGGTAAATTACCGTTCATTTAAACCTCTAAAAGATAAATTGGTGGATTTGGTTCCATTAAATTCTAAAAATTTCGATTATTGAATATAATTTTAAATTCAAAATCCTTTCTCATATTTGATTTAAAAAATTCAATTGTGTTTTTTATTCCAAACAATCAGATTGCCGAAAAAATTACCTTAAAACTTTATAATTTCATTTTTCTTATGTTTCAATTTGCACGAAATTCAAAATGGTTTAAGAATTTCAAATTAATTGAAATTCATCTCTTTATTTTTTTTTCCATAAGTTTCAAAATTTTACAATAATTAATTCAAATTACAAATGTATTGTTTTTTTTTTCAAAACGATAGAGATACTATTACTGAAACGAACGAAAAGAGTACATAATCCCAAGAAATACAACATGAGAGACACATCTAAAGATGGTCTAGAACCTCAAACAAGGAATAAAAGAGAAAAGGAGAAAAGAGCAGATGATGTACCACTGCCACAAAGCCTAGCCATCAACTACCCTAATAAACAACACCAAACTAAACAAGAAAAGCAAAGAATTAAAAGAAGCTACAAGCTGCAGCAGAAGAAAAGCCCAACCAGTCAGACATGGCAGCTTTGATGACTATGTGAGGTGGAGGAGAAGCATGCTGAAAGATCCATTGGTTCCGTGTCTTCCAGAGCCACCAAAGAAGATAGGTAGAGAGTTGAATTCGGTCTTCGACAATCTCTGAATGGTTTATGCTGCACACTTCAAGCCACCATGATCTGAAAGATCCTCTAAAATGAGAAAGCTGTGGCCAAGAAACAGGGGCAATGTCCCAAACAGAACAGGCTCTTGGACATTGTAACAGTACATGCTCAATTGTTTCAGGTGACTCTCCACAGCTTCTACAAATCACATCAATGTCAAGACCCCTGCTTTTCAGCTACACAAGAACAGGTAAGGCCCCAGAAAAACATTTCCAAATAAAAATTTTTACTTTCATCATCACTTTCAGAGACCAGAATCTTTTCAGAGTTGAGGCCCAAGGACTGGGAGAGACACTACATTCAGGCAGATCCAAAGCTCTACATTTTTTAGCCACCAAATGTGCATAAGTACTAGAGACTGTGAATTTACCTTTGCTATCCAAGGCCCAGTACAGCCTGTCAGGTTTATCAACTCTCACAGTTTTAATATTCAAAATGGT